CCCCGACATTGGAAAGGCTCGAAGGGGTTTGAGCGAGTAAAGGAGGGGGGGGAAGGAGAAGGCAGTCTTGGTTAGAGAGCAATGGGCCCCTTTCTATTCGGCGTTGTACGAGTCCTTTTTTTCCTGTTAATCGCGGCTCTGCTGCTGGACGTGTTGTACGAGAATCTTGGGTACTCGGACCCGGTGTCAGAGTGCTGTACGTCGCAAATTGCTGTCGGACTGGGGTCTTGGCGGCCAATAATCTCACTAGGATTAAGACAAAAACAAAGGAAACTTTTGTTGCAAATCAAAGGCGGATATAGGAGCCTTCAACGCGATACCGGATCGGTTAATTCGTCACAAGATCATATTCAAAGGCGGGGTCGTACCTCCGCGCGGATGTATTTACCGCATGAGCGAGCAGGAACTCTAAGTGCTTTGAACACAACAACCTCATTGCCAAAGGCTGGATTCGCCTTAGGTGCTCGCCCTACGGTGCACCCGTTCTCTTTGTCAGAAAGAAGAACATGGAATTGTGGCTATGCATTGACTACCGCAAACTTAGCACGCAAACCATTAAGAATGTTGGCCCAGCCCCACGCATCGACGATCTTCTCGAACGATTGGGCTGCGCCACATACTTCTCCAACTTGGATCTCAAGTCGGGTTACCACCAAATTAAGATCCATCCACGGGATCGGTACAAGACCGCGTTCAAAAAGCGATACGGGCACTTCGAGTTGGTCGTAATGCCATTCGGCCTCACAAACGGTCCGGCCACCTTCCAAGCAGCCATAACGACGGAGTCCAGCGACATGTTGGACTGGTTCGTGCTCATCTACCTACATCTTGGTGTATAGTCGGACTTTGGACGAGCACCTCGCACATCTACGCGTCGTTGTGGATAGGTTACATACAGCCAAGTACAAGGCCAAACAAACCAAGTGTGAATTTGCACAACAAGAGCTCGAGTACTAGGGCTACTTTGTGACGCCACAAAGCATTTGTCCGCTCGCGAACAAGATCAAGGCCATTCAAGACTGGTCGGAACCGACCAACACCATTAAAGTTCGTTCTTTCATGGGATTGGTCGTGTACTCCAACGCTTCATTGGCGGATACGAATGGATCGCCACCTTTGTCGAAATTGCAGTCTCCAAAGGTGCTCTTCCACTTCGCCGACGAAGTCCGAAGTTCGTTCCAAAAATTGATGGCGTCGCTTCTCGCTCCCGTCTTGAATATCTACGATCCTACCTTGCCAATGAGAGTGACCACGTACAATTCCGGCTACGGCATTGGTACGTGCAGTTTTGGAACAGCACGACGAAGTAGATTGGCATCCGCTTGAGTACTTCAACCAAAAGGTGCCTCCCATCAACTCGGTTGATGATGCGCGGAAGGAGTTGCTCCTGTTCGTCACGGAACTTAACTGTTGGCGACACTTCCTCCTCGGGCATCATAGGTTCACTTGGGCAACGAATAACAACCCTACTACAAGACGCAAGACACGGCGAGTAGCACGATTACTCGGTAGATGTACTCCATCGAGCAATTCGACTTCACACCGAAGCACATTTCAGGTCTCTCAAACCGAGCCGCGGATGCTCTCTCGCGAAGATCGAAACTTTGTGCAGCAATCCATCATGCGACTTCGATGACGACCTTCATCAGCATTTTGTACACGCATACAAGTCAAATCCGGAATACACCACTTTCTACGAGCAACTTTCTTCGGATCACCCACTGGACAGCCACTATCGCATCAGCGACAGCTACTTGCTTCTCCATTCATGAGGCAAGAACTATTATGCGTCCCACTGGACCATTGACTACGGACTCACCTTTTCGATGAGTTCCACGACTCGCGCCTCACCGACCACTTCGGAGTCAACCGTACGATTGGAAGATCGGGACAACCATTCCGCTGGCCTGACCTCATCACCGACATCACTTCGGAGTCAACCGTACGATTGGTATTGCGAATCTTGCCAACGAAGCAAGCCCCGCAATTGCAACCCTTATGGCTAGTTGTGCTCGTTGCCCATCCCTCGTGAACCCGGCCTCTCCATTGCTATGGATGTCACCAGCCCATTCCCCCGTGATCGCTTCGGGCACGACGACATTCTCACGGTCGTTGACCATTTGAGTAAGTACACATGATTCCTCCCTTGCAAGTATCACGCAATGGCCCCCGAGCTCGCACAACTCTTGCACACCGGCTGGATTTGCAGCCACGGACTCACGAAAGATATCGCTAGTGACCGGGACACTCGATTCATGTCAACATTTTGGACTTCTCTCATGGAGTCCGACACCGAGATGAAACCGAGTTCGGCTTGGCATCCACAAACGGACGGGCAAACGTAGCGGGCACATCAAATCGCTCAAATGATGCTCTGTACGCTCGTTCGTCCAGACCAAAAGGTTTGGGTTGCCCGCCAACCCGAAAACGAGTTCGCCTACAACACTTCGTTGCATCCGGCGATCGGCGTGACTCCATTCGAGTTGCACCACAGTGGCCGAAAAGGATGTATCTTGCATGTATTCCCACGGACTGCCAACATTGACGCCCCTTGCTCTCCTGCCTCCATTCAGAAGTATCGAGACTTGCTGGGCCAAGGCCGCGCAAACATGCAAAAGGCTCAAATCCGCATGCAGCAGCAAGCCAAACGACGTCATGTGCCACGTCTTATCCGCGCCGACGACCTTGTTTGGGTCTCTGCGGACGAGTTTCTGCTCGAACAAGACGTTCGCGCAAGCTACTCCCCAAGTGGTTTGGACTTTCGACCGTCACATTAGCCGCAGGCGACGAGCCCAATGGCCCATCATTTGTGATCGAAATCCCGCCGCATCTAACGGTCCACCTGGTATTTCACGCCTCCAAGCTGGCTACGCATACACCAGCCAAGAGCAGTGACTTCCCGAGCGAAAGATCACAGGACCCTCCTTCAATGGGAGGACATCAGGAGATCGATCGTGTAATCACGTACCGCAAATACAGCAATAAGCCAATGCAGTACAAGATCAATTTCAAAGAATGCGACCATGACGACACATAGTGGATATCACGTGCAAACTTACAAGCCTCCACACCGCTTATCTACGCCTACTATGGAAAGCAACGACTATCGAAGGAAGCTTCACAACCTGCCCCTCCCACCCGGACTTCGGTCCCTCCCTCCGACAGACAGCTTCACCCTCACAGGTAAGCTCGGTCTTTCAAGGAGGGGGAAGTGTGGCATTCTTAGTTCCACACGGGCCCTCGACCGGGCCCGGTCCGTAGGAGTAGGGGTTAACAGGGTAGTAGAGCCAGAGCCAGATAGGCCGATTAGCATTAGGCCTGGCGCGTCGTTTCAGTGGCACCAGGCCCCCAGTTAGAGGCCGGGTTGGACCTACAGTAGGGGGCACAGGCCCTGGGCGCAGTTCCACCAGGAGGCACAGTCCCAAGGCGCCATTTTCAAAGGGCACACGCCCTGGGCGCCATCCGCAGGCCACGGTACCGTTTGGGCGCCAGTTTAGGCGCCAGACTTCCACAGTACCGTTGGGCGCCGTTTTAAGGCACCGAGGCCATGCCTGAGGCCGGACCAGCACTACATATAGCTGGTCGGCCTCAATTGGAGGTAGGCATTCGCACAGGCATTCTTCGTAGTAGTACCATAGTCAACGATAGGTAGGCTGTAGTCTTCCAGCGCTAGGTGCTGTGATAGGATTCCAGGCCACGAGTCAGCGCCGCACCCAGTAGAGGTTAGGGGAGCCGCCAGCTATGGTGGAGACCAGGATACTCACTTGACGACTTACCTGCCACGCCAACGCTCCAGCTTCGTCCTCGGTGGGTCCGTACCTGCATCAATGCGACACCTTTCCAGGCCAGTACCTGGTACCCACACACAGAGAGAGAGATAGAGATAGAAAAATAGATAGATAGATAGATAGATAGATAGATAGATAGATAGATAGATAGAGAGAGAAAGAGCTCTTCTTTTTCTTCCCCCTCCAGTCCATAGCTCTCCTTCTCCCCGTCCAGCGCTCCAGCTCTCTTCTTCTTCGTCGGACTATGAGAGAGAGA